CACAAGCACTCCCTAAAATATTTGGTATTCTAACAAATTTATTTCTGGGACTTCCACTGTATAGTACGAGTATATCTGCAAAGATTACTGTTTTTCGCCAAACCTTGACAAATGCGCCGTGTAGGTGGCCAACACTTCGATAACTAATAAACGGTAAACAGGTGCACCGCGAGTATGATAAACTGTTTAGACAAATGGTTAGCGTAGTTGTGCCGACTATCTGGTCAGCTGTTTATGTGTCTGATTAGCCGCCCTGATTATTATAACATCGCGAGTGCATACCGTAGTCCATTTGTTCACCTCTGACTGCTTTACCTCATGGGCTTTCCTGCCTGATAATCAGTATGGCTGTAGTCATGCCTAATTTATTCGGTTCCGTTTATTAAATAGGATCCTAACGCATAGCGATCTCCACTGGCGGAAATAGAGTTCGACGCATTACCTTAATTTGCTACCCTGGTGATTTTTCTACCGCCTCCGCGTGTTGAATGTCTCAGATCAGGTTTTAAGCTGACCTCACTTCCATTTAGGCAATGGTGTCGGCTAAAAAGCAGCACCACTGAATGAATGGGGGGCGAATGAGTTAGTTTGTGCCCAGACAGCATCTCGGATGGCATGGAGTATCCTTGTATCGTTGCAGCAAGTTCGGACTGTCACATTCGTGACAGTCAGCATACTTTACTGGTAGGATAGTTGTCGGGCAACGGTGGTTAGACATTAGTTTTCAATATTTTCCGTACGCAATACCTAACATTCATAACCGTTCACGACTGCCCCGGCGGATGCTGGGTATGCACTCATTTTTAGCCGGACGCGAGCCTAAGACCGAGTACAATTCAGAAGACGTCCTATTTTGAGAGCATCGGCGACACAAAACCCGGGTTGAACCTTTCCTAGTATTTTGCGACCGGGCGAATTTTTACGAGTTTAAAGTCATTCAGTAGTGCTCTGTGATATTTTACAGGGCAGACGGTAGCAGATCGCAATCCCCACGCTCTGGTGACTGTCGCTGCTGGTGCTCAACTGCTTATTTGGCAAGTCCGCTAGCCCGCCTTTTTGCACCGGGCTTTCACTGACTGCCGTTGCGTTACCCGCAGATGCGCCAGGTAAACAGCAGATAGCTTAATAAGTAAACTCGTCGTCAAGATTTTGCGGTCTAAAACACTGGAAACTAGTCTTCGCAATGCACTGATGTGGCCGATTCCTTGAAGCGCATAGGCAAAATTTTACAAACTTATTTCCAATCATATTTTCTCCAATTCTGTTTCTTAGATTTGAGGTTTCCTTTCTACTAGCAATACCTCCCAACGGAATTCCTTTTAGATATCTGAGTTCTATTGTTTGTGTTGTTTTAGATCTTCAAACTGTCAACATTACTCTGCGTATCCTGTACCGACCAAAGGCCGAACTGCTTCCAAAAATTTACTCGAACCTCGGCTTCGATTACGAGGAACGCGTTTTGCCCTCCATCACAACTGAAGTTCTCAAGGCTGTCGTTGCCCAGTTTGATGCCAGTGAACTTATAACTCAACGTGAGGTTGTCAGTCAACGAGTGAGCGACTCCCTGACGGAGCGTGCGTCATCCTTTGGCATCCTGCTCGACGACATTGCACTGGTAATGCTTCCCTTGCTGTGTTTATGCCTTTTCGATTTACCGGTTAAGCTGTAGCGGCCCTTGTACCAATTTCAGTGCTGATCAAATTACTGGAATACGCTGGGGGCTGTTTCTAAATGTCATTAACTTAGCTTTTAAGTGGAGCTTCTTATGTAAGAGGAGAGAGTTTGTAGGACTTGGTAGCGGACTTTATTTACACTACATGACAAGAAGCCAAAGGATCTGCTCACATAAGTAGTTTGCTGCTGCGCCCATGCCGTAGGCGATCGCAAGTACGCCTTAGGATTTATACGACAGATGACGTTCATTGCCGCTTGTCTCACAGCATTTACCTCCGAGTCGACTTGCTTATGTTCGCGGCCAGTTGCTTTTGTTAATTGAAAAAGATACGTGCCTTAAGATAGCCTGTCACTCAAACATTCATCAATACCTAAATCAATCTATTGCGATTTTACTTTTTGTCTATTTATTAGCTGATATAAATGGTGCTCCTCAATCAAGTAGTGCTTTCTACTTTCTGTAAGTGGTCGTCAAGTAGAGCGCACTTTTCTTAAGGCTGATTTTATGATTTAGACATACTCGAATCTCCTAACAATCAATCACAGTCGTCTTGAGTCAAATGATTTCTTCAGGGGAGCATATCACAAGCCACTTATTCTCTCGCAGTTGCCTGTGTGTAGCCGGGAAAATAAGAAGGCATATGTGAAAGATAGTGTTTGAAACAGTGCATCTCTACTGAGAAAGTGTGCATGTAGTCGTAGTCTATATTTGTCTCTCAGCTGCTTCCGCAATATCTCGCCACCTTGAAAGGATAGTTTTAAGAACTCATTTTACTATGACACCGGCTCTAAGTCCTTTTCGTATAAATTGTTCATTTAACCTCATTATATTCTTCTACATAGACCCAAATCTCCTTCTCTTCGGAGTTCGCAGCGGCCGTTGAAGCTAAACAAGTAGCGCAACAAGAAGCTGAGCGGGCGCGCTTTTTGGTCGAAAAGGTGAGACTACTTGTATACGGAGTTGGAGATTTTGTCCACCAACAAGTTATTCACTTGCGTACCTTCCACTTAACTTTACTTCTGATCTGCGTTTTTAAGAGTGTTATTGTGCATTTATTCAGTGTCATATTGGCAGATTTGTCCTTGATACATAAGACTACCACACAAGTACTTACTTACTTACTTACTTGTACTTGTTACGGCTGTGATCATGCCTGATCT